ACATTTCTGACCACTTCTTTGTTCAGTTCATCTTGACCCTCGTGGGCCGTCTTCACTCTGGTTTCTGACCAGAACACCTGTTGTGGACACTCTGAGAACCATAAGAGCTGCACTCCAGTCATCTGTCCTGATCCTGCTAGACCTCTCTACAGCTTCTGACACAATTAATCACCTAATCATCCTGGCCACCCTTTCTCAACTTGACATCAGAGGGACTGTTTTGTGCTGGTTTGACTCATACCTGTCAGACAGATCATTCCAAGTGGATTGTGGTGCAGAGATGTCTAAGTCACTTCAGGTAACAGCTGGTGTTCCACAAGGCTCTGTCCTTGGTCCTCTCCTCTTCTCTCTGCATTACATCTAGTCCCATGGCTTCTCCTACCACTACTACGCCAATGACATCCAGACCTACTTGACACCATGGTCTACACCAGCATCTCTGTATACCTGGTTGATATCACATCACCTTCAACTTAACCACTCCAAGACTCCAAGACTGAACTTCTTGTCCTCCTTGCCAACCCTACCATCCACCACAACATCACTGTTCAGCTTGGCTCATCCACACTGTGTCCATCAGAATCTACTAAGAATCTAGGGGGAGTGTTAGACAAACAGTTAACCTTTGCCGAGCACATAACAGCAGTCTTCCAATCTTGTAGATGTCCCCTTTCCAGCCATCATTCACTCTTCCATCAAGAAAAAATAAAGACCCATCTGTTCTATTAATTCCTTTACTACATTCTTTGAATGCTCTTATGCTCTTATTTGGTCATGTAGCTGTTTTGGTTGCTCCTGTTCCAATAACTGCATGCACTATTAGCTGGATATTCACTATAAGCTCAGCCTAGCTGTACTTATGTCTAGTGGCCTCCTTGACGGCATGAATATTTGCAATGTGCCATTTGACTCACTGTACATTGCTTTGGACCAGAGTGGGTGACATGGGGTGGCATTGGCGGGCCATGCCCCCCTAAATGAGCCATAAGGACATTTTTATTTTTTAATAAAGATCTTCATCCTAAAACAAATAAGCCAATGTGCCAATCTCTGTCAGGGACGTGGCTATGGAACGTCCGCTTATCCAATGCTTAACTTTTACCTTCACCAAAGGCTGGCCGATAAAACTAATTTTTATGGTATATCGATATATTTTCAAAGTGAGATATATGATGACGCTTTTCATCAATAGTACTTTTATTATGCATTAAAATTGTCGGGCTCCAATATTTGTTTTATTTTGTTGAAGAGTAATAAGTCAAAATAAGGGACTTTCCCGTTATTAAGCGCAGTGTCTGTGCTTGTCAGGCTTGTTTTTAGAACCAGTTGCTGAATAGGTTTTAGATTAAAATTTTAGTTTTTTTGTTCATAAACATTCACCATTTGTTTTGAAGACAATGTCAATGTCTTTTTAAAAAGCTGTTTGTAAACATAGTGGAGGGTGCTTCACTGAACCCACGCAACACCGATATAGGCATAATTTATTGTTGGCTTCATTTCGAGACTTCTGTTTGCCATGCTGAAAATGTCCGTACTGAATACTTATAGTTGTATGTTTACATACAGGAAAGGAAAGCCTTTCGTGTTTTAATAAAAGTGTTGGTGACATCTCACAGGTGGCTTTGACCTAAAATTAAACATTTAGGCCACTTTATAGAAAATACATTAAATACATACGCCTAAAAAATATGGAGTTATGGGGTGAGTTTTGTCCACATTGCCCAGATGTACATGTGACCGTCCCATGAGTCTCCCATGAAAATCTTGGGCCCCTCTATCAGACTTGCTCAGGCACTGACTTTGGATAAAAGCGTGATACTAAATATTTAAACATTAATGGAGTTCAAATTTATTCTAAACTTAACAGTATACATTTTACATAAAACCTATCACTTTTTTATAGTTTAAAATAATTTCAGTGTTTGTGAAACTGTTGCACACATTTCAAATAGATTACATCATTTGTTTATAGGAATGAAGAAGGATCTGACTTTATTTGTGCACTTGGGGGATTTTACAAACATCTTTATTAATTCTGTCTGAATGAAAGCAGCTGCATTTCTGAAATTCTGCCTGGGCTGCAGAGAGTGTTTTTTTATGACACGTGACAAGTACCTTCAGAAACGTTGACCCGAGTATTGGTTTGATTTCCAAAAGACAACTTTAAAAATTCAAAAATCCATTGATCCGGCAACATCAAGACAAAGATAAGAATTCTTGACTGCCCTTGTGATATGACTGGGGAGCTTAACATCTCGGCCAAAACCTCATTTTCCAATATGCTATTACATGTTAATATCTAAAAATATGTACCCATGTCATCATAAGCAAGACAGGCAATTGCTTGGGGCCCCCAAGGCAGAAGGGGGGCCCTGAGGGCAGCCAATTACATAGTACTTTGCAATGACAAATTAGCTTTGTTTGTGTATTCTGTTTTTACAAACATGAAAATAAAGGATTTGTGTTTCTTAAATTCTCTTTGCTGATATTTTAAACTTAGACACTAAAATAAAACAATATATATTCCCATGTCAGAGGGGGGAGGGCCCATGGCAGTGTCTTTTTGGCTAGGGCCCCCAGAGTCCCTAGAATCGCTTCTGTGTATTGGGGTATATCATTGTGGGACCAGTCGTCCTGTTTGCTTTCAGCTCTTACATAAATCCTTGACTCGCAATATACATAGTACATCTGAGCTTTTATATTGGCTCATTGTGCTGAAATATTTGAGAAATAGCTAGGGAGGGCGAGAAAACATAGTGGGAACAAGCGAGACTGACAGCCAATACCATGAACGTACCTCATCCTGAGCCGCCCAGAGCATGAGCAGCCGATAGTGAATTAGCGACCCCCAAAGGTTCACAAAAAAAGGAACGGACTGACTTCCAGGGACTAGAGGCCAGGAATTTCGTAAACACATATGGACAGAGGCGTTTGTGGTTGTGATACTTTAGAGACCATGCAACTTTATTCCTCATCGGTTTCTGTAGCGCCATTCCAGCTGCATGCCATTAATGCGTAGAACTGCAGCGCACGTTATTTTTTTAGCACTTCTATCTGAAGCAACGTATACATTTGAGAAAGTTGGATCAGCCAGCATCCACTAGCAATCATGGTTAATAGCTTTGCTCAATGTGTGAACAGTGAAATCGCTACTCTCTAGCCCAGCCCAGGATTTGAAGCAGCAACCTTCTGATCACAGCATCCTAACCCTCTGAGCTACAATGATGGATAAAATAATACTCTATGCATAAGTGAAAGCATGTGTGCTCATGTAAAACCTTATTTATACATATTTTGGGTTTCCAGATTTAAAAGGGCTAACGTAAAGTGCCGTCAAGGTTTTATTTTATAAATTGTTGAATAGGACGTCACTAAAAATACAGCTTTGCGAACATAATTATGCATTGTGTGGTATTTTAACAAAGTATAAATATTTCAGGCCATATGTGAGGGAAAATAAGCACATGGGGGAAAAACGTTATTCATAGAATAAGCTGCCTCAACAGGTTCGCTGAGAAAATACTCAAAATCACCACAGGGAGGAGACATTTTTCCACAGTATTCTTTCTATTTGTTTCTTTCACTTCAGTTTTAGATTAACAAGATAGTTCTTTGTTTGGTAACAAACATTATATTGAATACAATAATACAACTTAAGGCTGGCGAACATATTTCAAAAACCAGGAAAAAAAAAATACAAAAACTGCAGTGAACAACTGTACATTTTGGAAACCAATGTACATTTAATCACTGAATGCATTTTATTCTGTATATGAAAGGAAAAAAAAATCCACATATGTACAGCAAACACTCTTAAATTAATTAATATTTGTCAAACCAAACACAAATTAATAGTTTAGGAAGCTAGTAACTAAAATTTAAAAAAAATCCATGTGCTTTTATAAACATCACTATATTAATACTGGGCCAATAGACAAAAAATATGCCTTTTTTACAAGATAGCAGACAGTATGAGTAAATCAATAAATACTTTTCAGATCAAGCAATTCCAGCACTAAAAGTTGGGGGAGTTTAGGGAACAAAAATGCCAGACATTCACACTCACGTAACGGAAAAGTATTGCATAACAAGGATAATCACTCATCCGCCCATTTAATGATCACTTATCAACTGCTGTGCCTGTTGGTTCTTGCGTAATTGTAATGAAGGTGAGATGCATAGTCTTTCTTGAAGTATGCAAAAATAATTAATCTTCACAGCTACCATCTAATACAAGGTCTTTGATGCCATGGATCAGTTTCAGCAGGGAATTTAGTATGAATGAATTTTGAGATTCTCTTTGATTCACGTGTCCACTAACGTCACAGCCAGTAGAAATGGGCTTGTCTCTTAAGATTCTGCTTTGACGTCATGAGATGCAGCATAGCTTACGACTGAGTAAAGTGCGGTCTTAAAAGTGGATCATGTATCACAATAAAATTACAATATACAGCTACACGAGATTCAAAAACGATGAGCTATCCCTGATACAAACATCGCAACTCATAACAGAGGGAAATGGTGGCAGTTTTTGGAACAAGACAGTACGTAAACATGATGGATACTAACGCAAGGAGTTGTTCCTTTGACGTTACAGTATCTCCAATTCGAGGATGTTCACTTGAAACGATAAAAAAAGAGAAAACTGAAAAGAAATGAGAGAAAAAAAAAAAAACTGTATTTGGCCTTACACGCTTGGCAGTTGACCGTCTGTTCCATACGGCCCCATTGCTTTTACTGAAGGACACTGGCCATATTCTACAAAATACAACAAAATTATAAAGTGACCCTTTATTATATCCACAGTCGGCTCCTTAGAAATTTGGGAGGTTGCGTGGTGTGAGGAAGATATAAGTAGGCAGGTCAAGCTTAATTTTTTACAAAAGCGCCATCACCGTGGACCATACGGTTTCTCAAATACCTGCATCCTCACCAGCACCAAAATGTACAATAAGCCTCCCCCCCAACCCCTCACCCCCCGCCCCCCACCCCCCACCGCGGAAGCCGATCGGTCAACAGGAACAACTTGGATCAAACCTGGATGTCGATGTTCCCTACCTCAGCTACTGAGACGACACTGGACTGCATTTCAACGTGGCTGCCTATGAGGTTAGTGGCCTTCCCTCACCCATTATTAAAGATACACTCATTTCTGGCCAAAGCGGACCCTGCGTTCCGTATGCGTAAAGCCTGTGCTTTCTGGTGCCACAGGAAACCCGGGCAGCCCTTTCTCCTCTCAGATGTGCGTTCCTTCTTTTGGTGGGCGACTCCCGGGCCATCCAGCACCCGGCGCCCTCTCTGGGACTCAGGCCTGGTTGTTAATTGCCTCTTTGCCCTCTTTGCACTGCGGTGCTGGCTCTGTGGCAGGGCCAGCACATTGCTCAGAATCATCACCTTCACCTGGGAAGAGAAGAGAAAAAAAAAGAAAAAAAAAAAAAAGGATATGACATATTAGAATCAAATGTTAGGAAACATGGGAAATTTTCCTTTCAGCGTTAGCTTCACAAGCCCAGCAAGGACAGCCAGCAAGAATGATGTCACTGCAAATAAAGAATGACCACACATAGCTAGGACAGTTATCTAGCAATATTGAGGAGTGGTGATCATGGTGAAGCAGGTACCTACATTCAGAGCATAACAAATTATTCCACTACAGAGTCAAAGGAGTCACTTTATACTGACCTCTAAATGAATGTGTCTGAGATAACGGGAAGACATTTCAAATAGCGAACAACAGTTTTTAAGGGTCAAAGGTCATTATCCCTGTCAAACTATAGTTATAGCATCAAACAATTAATTTATCTGTAATTCCTCAAGTGTGTACTTAAAAGATCCACTATGTGCAAACAAAACAAGTCTGTTCTCCACTCTAGCTGTGACTCAACAAATCACGTATTCACAAGAAGCCAGCTGGCTAGCTCTTCTCGTCATTCTTATTTACCTCAAACTCATTTTAAAATGTCAATCATATTCGATGCATCATATTCCGATACCTTTTGGGGCTAATTCCTGAGCATGAAGTCTAACTGGAAAAATACGAATCCCGCCATTTCCTTCATTATGTCATTTAGTTCATTTATATTTCTGGAACTCATAGCTGTTTATCCAGAATTTTCCAGATTTCCGGGTGCTCTCGGCGAGTGTCGCCTCACAGCACACGTGTTGGGTCGACTTCCTCCTCCACTCCATCTCCCTGTGTAATGCAGGATTCTTCTGGCTACTCCAGTTTTCCGTTGCAGTCCAAAGACATGCAGTTAATCCAGCAACACTCTCGGAATTGCTTGGACTTACGGACAGAAAGTCTATTGAAAAAAGATGACGGAGAAGTGATTTTTAATTGTTGCCCTATGTTGCTGTGTTGGGCTATTGTTGGGCTGTAACAACAAAGAGTCTCTGCAAGTTTCAATGCCCCCCCTACAGGCAGAGTAACATTTAAGGCCTTACCACAAATTCCATATCTCTCAGTCATCACTGGCTTCTTTCAACATGGACTGACTCACTCACACTTATTCATCAACACGGCTTTTATATTCCTTGCATGTATCTGGATATTCGCTTTTATACTCAAAGTGCAATCTTTGGTCACTGGATCATTTCCCCCCCCCCCCTTGTTATGCACCGAGTCCTGGAGTTTTTAAACGCTGCATTTGTGGTAATCTGAATTAAGCCTACATGTTACCATAATTATAGATTTGCTTGATTTTATGCCGTTAGGCCAATCTATAACCCTTCCAAAATACAACCAACTAAATAAACTAATTAAGCAATTTTACTTCAAAGGGTCTACAGCTCTGTAATAGCATACATATCCAGCTGCGTAACAATTAACGTTTCAAATACAAATCAGTCAAGATAATAACTTGACTGATTTATATAGACATACCAGCTCTGACTAACAGGTATACCTGCCAATTAAATCCACACATACACCATAAGATCTACCCGAAGGAGGAAATGGGAAAAGCGGGAGGTGAGAACGACGTGCAAGGTACGGGTGGAGCCGTATCACAAAGTTGTGAGGGTTCTCCGCAGTTTTGTAATTGCGAAAGTAATTAGCGCAGGACTCTCACGGGAATCCCGTGTGCGCGCTGGCAGGCGTCCGCGACACCGACTGTAAAATATACGATCGAAAAGATACGATGATTAATATGGTGTTATGAAATCAACAGATGCCAATATGCGCCGAGGCTGCCAGGTCATTCCCGCATAACGTCGCTCCGGTGCAGGAAGCGGATCGCCGGTGCGTTTGTCGGTCGCCCACCTGTTTTATTGATGTCGATCTTGGAGAGCGTCTCCGACACGCCGCCGTGGTCCGGGTCGCCCGGGTCGCCGCGGATGTCATGCAGAGCGTTGCGCCTGCCACTTCTGCCCGAAGCGATGAAGTCCTCATAGGTCGATTCCACATCAGTCATCGCTGACACGTTTCAACATAGCAGGGCCTGCAGAGCGGGCAGTGAGCGCTTTAGGAGTCTGGCTTTGAAGGTTTATATTGAGGTATATAGGGTATATATTATGTTTCAGTCACATTTTAAAGCATATTTCTAGGGTAGGCCTATACAATGTCAGAATAAAAAGTACCAATTTGAACCACTGAGGGTACAATTTCGTGGGGCTGTACCCTCAAGGGTCTGCCAATTGTACTCTAGCTGTAAGTAAAAGTGTGTTTTAGTCTAATTTAAGGTACAGAAATGGACTCTGAGGAACATTTTTGTACAATGGAGGTACATTAATGTTGTTTGTACCTTGGGGAACAAAACTGTACCTTTTCCTGACAGTGCTAAACTACATGACATTGCCCTTGTAGCTGTATTTGTGCAATGACAGTTCTATCTATGCCAGTCTGCCTAAAGAATTACAGTGTGAATTTACGGTAGATTAAATCAGTTACGGTACGGTTACGGTAGATTAAATGTAATCAAAGAATGACATCATGCAACCATTTGAAGACCACTGTACAAACAATCATATGGCAGGTGAAAAATCATTATAAGACAGGTGTGTTGGGTGAGAAGAATTTAAATTAAATGAGATATATTCAGGTTTAATACAGATTCTATGCCATTTAGTAGCTGTAGGTATGAACAGGCCGAATTCGTATAGCAAGACATTTAAAAATGTTAACGATTTAAGATGCGAAAGTGTTTAAAATGCTTCCTTCGTCTGACAGTAGAGGGAGACATTTCTCACTGAAAAGCAAAAGCCAGAAATTCCCTGGAAACGGACAGAGAGCCAGGATATAAACTCTGGCAAGCAACTGGGGTTATCAAGGGATATGGGGGATTGGCTTGGCCAAGCTTGCAGTATAATGCTTTGTATATTTTTTTTGTGTCAACTGAGTAGCAGGCTTTATTTACTGCACTACATCACAGATCTGTCAACCCTGACCAGGATAAGTGGATGGATGGATTACAACAGCAGTGCATTCAGATTGACACTGCATCAATGCAAGCCTATTCCACTCCACTTGACATGTCCATTTTTGGTACGGGCTCGTGGTCATCCTGGAGCCTATCCCAGACAGGCGGGGAAGACCCCGAATGGGATGTCAGACAATTGCAATACACACACAAACACACACACAATCACACACTAAGGGTAATTTTAGAGACATCCAATCAAAATGAGGCTGATCGCCAATATAAAACATTTGTATTGACTCTTGGCTAAAGGACAAACCCCGTTTCCCCAAAACAGGCATCTTATCTGTTCATTCCATCCCACAGCCTGTTAAGCCTAGACGCTAAAGGACACCTTTCCGCCCTCACATTCCCAAGTCACATGGTTTGGCATCCTCCGCCAACTGGAGCGAGCCCCACCATCATTTACTAAAAACACAATCTATGAACACACACTTTACATTCCTCCTCTATTCAATTCAACTGTGCATAAAAATCCAAACTAGTTTACTCCATTTGTGAACAACAGAGAAAAAAAAACATCTACAGAACAAAATGCCCAGAAAAGAGTTTCCTATCTAATTTGTGTTTCAAGGACATGGCATGGAGTTGTACAGCCGCAAATTCCACTAAATCAGCCTGGAGAGAAGTGCTTTCCCCAGACAGAAAGCAGCACCCAGACTGTGGCAGATTGCTCTCGACACCATAATTACAAGCAAACACAACCTTCATTATGAGACAGTAACAGCTGTAGGTGAGAATGGAGGCATCTGGGAAGACAAAGATGACCTCTTTTCATTTGTGGTTTTTTAACCGTTATAGATATAGAACATAATCTGATGCACCTATAACTTTTAAATGATAAAAGCCTGACAAATGGTAACATGGCAAGAACAGCCTTCAGTTAAGGTAATTATTTTGTATATATGGTTAAAAATTACTACAGGTAAGCGCTAAATTCTCAAAACACAAAGGCAAACCCATTTCAATACACAGAGATCATGCACAGTAGAGTATACCGATTTCAAAACCAAAAGACCAAAAGGTTTAGTCAAAAAATGTCATTCAACATGACATTTTGAAAAAATTATACAAAGGAGAAACCAGTGTCATATCTCTATGTACTCAAAGAGTGCGGAACTTTGACAATAACGATCGCAAAGAAAGCCCAGTTTCAAGTGGCCTTCCGGAATGAGCCAACAGTGAGCCAACACACAGACACACACACACACACACATTTACACACTTTATATTATAGAGGTTCTCCAGCACCATGTTAAAAACTCAGCCTTGGTGCTAGTAACTTACAAACAACTACTACCCATTCGCAAATCTTCTGGAAGTGTGTCCTGAAGTCCATGCATGTGCTTCTGTTTCCCACAATGCAAAGCCCCGGGTGCTATTTTTGGTAAACGACATTGCCCTGCCTCAGGGTCGCTCAGCTGTTACCCTTAACGTGTTGTCATTCAGCTGGAAAACGCTGATGAACCAGATAGTGTGTTTACAGCCTGTTTTGAAGCTAAGAATAGCTCATTGTTTCATACGAAGTCTAATGAACTATCGTCGCATAGTTAGAAGTCCATAGATATGAATATGAATCTATGATAGAGGTGTGGTTCTGTAATGTCACACTTTTATAGGGTTTGTCACTATAAATTAGCTAGGAAAACTATGGCAGGTTATTGTGGACATGCATGTTCTTTTGCATTTGGGGCTTCAAAAATGTCTCAGGACAAACTGTGTGCATAGACATTTTTAAATCGTATTTATGAGTCAAATTTTCTATGCATTTCCTCCATGCCTCAGCATATCGCAGTCAATCTATAAGATTTGTAATTTTTAAAAATGTCTTTCACATTAATATTTCTATTCTGTTTGTTTTTCTTGCACTGTGACCAATGTGTTTATGTTGCTAAACATGCATTAACCTACCACTGTTGAGTAAAAATAAAATGGAAGAGGCAGTGCATGTTAAGACGACTGTCCCTACTTGTCCTACACACAGTGTCTCTACAAATGACTAATTCTGAAAACACATGATCTGTTCCAATCCAGCTTTGATTTTTAAGGGAAAAAGCTACCATTCCAAAATTTCTTCATATGAAAATACAGGCCTGGCAAACGCTTGGAGATGGCGTGGCGGGGAAACAAAACCACTGTGTCGCATAACTACCTCTCAGCTCCAGGAAAAAAGTGAAAACACACAAGATTTGGAAGAGAAGCTGCACGTCTCGCAACAGACTAGGAGTGGACTAGAGCAGAAACTGTAAACAAACTGAAACGTTGGTGTATATGCAGACTTTGTTGGGGACAGCCAGCTGGTGGTTGTCCATGTATCTCTGGCACAAATAAATAAAACAAACAGCAAACAATCAATTTATTACTTGTCAACAAAGAGACGGGACAGATCACTCCCAGCCCACAAAACAAATGCGATCTCCAAACAAGGAAACAGTGATAATTGTTAAGCAGCCTGCGGGGTGGAGCGATTTGCAAAATCAGAATGTGGCAATATTCGGTTTATGAGCACTTCTGTTTTTCACCCTGCACACTCCTGGAGTTATGAGAATGAGAAGGATGTGGTGGAGAGTTTAGTCACATGGCAGCCAGGCTAATACATGCATAGTCATTTCCATCTGTGACCAGGTTCACACGTTGCTCCCGGAAGGTTAAAAAAGGGAAGAGGGGGCAGTGGTTTCGCCATGCAAGAAGCAAACGAGCTTTCCGGCCAGCGATGTGTCTAGGCCGATCCACACCGGGCCCCCGTCGCAGAACGTGTACCACCCACACAGAACAAGTCATAGCGTCAGTTTGCCTGAAAACAGCATCAGTTGAATGTCATTTGTTAAACTAGCTAAATATGCATAGGCAAACGCTTTACTGAAGGGTAACCTCTATAGAACGTCACGAGGGCTGCTTTGCCTGCAAAAGCTGTAACACTGTTCCGATTAAGAGACCAAATGAGATTAGAAACATCTGTCTCTTCACGCTGCCTGGTTTGCTATCAGGTCTGACATTTCAAAGGAAAATTTTGATCGCCATATTACACAAAAAAAAAAAAAGTATTTTCCTCCACATCTCAAAAGAGAAACTAAATTTAGGGCAAGTGTGTTTGCAAACACAAGGAAATAAATCAAAGATGCTTCAAAACTGTAATCCAGGAGCTTATATTAGAAGAACCATAGAATAATAATTTAAATTTCAAGATTAACTGGTCGGTTGAAGACTTTGGCCCTGGTCTACAAGCAGAATAAAGGCCGCTATGCATTTATCTGGAAGATCTCACCATGGTCATCAGCATTAGCTCTTCTGCACCTTCCAAATTTCACACACCTCAAACCACCAAACTACTAAATTAAAATTTTCAAACCATTAAAGCAATAGAGCCTCTGCATTCTAATAGCTATATATCACAGAGGCTCAGCCAAGGGAGGCAATAACGATTTGTACTAACATCTATAAAGTGGTCTGTTGTTGTGTTTATATTATCAGTATTTATATTATTAGTCTGTTCTGGGCAACATATCTAAACTTCCACCCTCTGTCTTACATTTTCTTGTGGGCTTGCTATCCCTTTTTATCAGGTTGACCTAAAAATCACACTGAAATACAGACCTAGAACTGTGCACACATACACTGGGTTTATCCTCTACGGCAGGGGTCTCAAACTCCAGTCCTGGGGGGCCGGAGCCCTACACAGTTTTTGGTTCACCCTCATTTAACACACCTGATTCAACTCCTTGTGCTAATTACCACACAGCTCTTGAGCTGAATCATTTGTGGTGGAACAGGGAAAGAACTAAGCTACACAGGGCTCCGGCCCCCCAGGACTGGAGTTTGAAACCCCTGCTCTACGGGAATGCACAAAAGTGCTTAATGCCCTTCTGAAGATTTTGTTCCAAAATATCTCATCAATGAAGAAAACAATGATAACAATACTAAAACTGACTATTTCTGATGCGTAACAAAAGCAACTACTCTGTTTCAACACCTTTCAAAGAAGGCCAAACATTGTTTCTGCTTCATTGGCTTCTGCGGACTAGACTCTCACAAGATACATAGTTACACTAAGATTATAGCTAATAATATTAGCCCTAATCTCATGCTTGTTAAAATGTCATTGTAATACAGCGTCCGGCATTTACGGGCATTAATGAATAACAACAATAAAGACGTTTTTGCCAAACGTTTTCATCTCTTGCCGAAAGGCCACACGAATAATTGCATTTGAATAAATTGTAGCAGCTGTTGCAGCTCAAGATTCGCAGAATATCGCTGCAGCACAGTTAAGCCTATCTAGATCTATCCTTTTGCATGGTGCCATACAAGCGAATTAGTTATTCGTAACATTTTACCCAAATCACACCTTGATGGTAAAACATTTGATTCACGAAAAAAAATCACGCAAATAAAAAAGCAGTGGCAAGCACTGTGGGCGACTGTTATTCTTGCTAAGCGTCGGTTGCTGCTGTTGTGGATTTATGTCAAAGCATACTATATAAATCGATGCGTTATGTTAAACAGGCAGACATACAGAGACGCATATAAACGCGTTTTGATGTAGGTAGCGGACATAGGCTCTGATCAGATAAAAACCGGAGGCTCTTTAGCCTGACGATCGCACGCCAGTAGGATGTATAACAGAAGCAATCTCGCAAGCGTTACATTTGTACGTGCGCTGCTTACCTTTAGTGCTATGTCGAAAGCTTTTATTTTAAATCACGATTTAAAAAATGCTTAAAAGAAAAGGGAAAAACGCCCATTTTCTTAACTGAAGCGGGAGTCTCATTAACTCCCAGCGCCAGCCATTCCAGCTATGATGTCACGAAGGGATTCCAGATTTTTTTCCCACGATGGGGGTGGGGGTCTCGATCAATCCTGTTACTTACACACCCAACGTTAATCTTTGCAAATAAATAAATCAACGTAAATATTTTCAATATACATCTATAAGTGTATATACATATAAATTGTCTAAAGGAAACATTAACAGGTACTGTCACACACAAATTATCCAATATAGTAATACATTACAAAATTGGTAAATGTCGATCATTTATAAAATAAAGTCGTTCATATTTTCCATGTTTTTCGTGTTATATTTTTGCAATTAAGTTTCTATGTGCAGATTTTGTTTTGATGCATATAACACGCCTTCTTAAATGGCAGCGTTTCAAATGCAGTATGTGTCATGAGATATAGGGTACAAAGTATTAAATGAACCACGGATGATCTTGAAATTGACAGATAAAAACGACAGATAAAGTGCTTGTGGAAACGACATAGTTAGAAATTCATATATTTAGACCTATTTATACTCACTACAGCTCCTCGGTTCGCTCTGTTTTGTCATAATTTGTATATTTTCCTAGCTTTTCCAGTAGTTTGAAAAGGCTATGAAAATAGCCAAATATAAGCCGTGAGGTAGGAAAAGGTTACATATCATATTATTTTTTGTGCAGTTTGACATATGACATCATTTCTACATTTGCCAAATTCCCCCCTCATACCCAGCGCCGAATATACAGCCACCATTGTCCTCTCTCTACTCCAGAGAGCTATTAAAATTACAAATATGCAGTGAACAAATTCACCATTTGATAGTGGTCTGCTTGTCACAAAGCTGCAGTGGGTTTACAGATGTGCTCAAGCTATATGAGTCCCCGCGTGAAAGCCTCCTTTCAAGGGAGAACAGGCTGCTAGTATCGCGTCTAGATAAAGCTTCCAGATTGAAACTTGGGGGGCATCATAATGCAGATGTCTATTTTATGCGGGATGTGAGTTTCAATTTTCAGGATATAGAGCGAATTTACTAAGGTTATTGTTATTCTCATACCATATACATCTTTCTAGTTATTTAGTGCCACACCACAAAATGACATGCCAACATGTGGATCTCATGCACCTTACGCTGCAGTGCACGCTCCGCGAGGTGAGCCGACCGCATGTCACAGACAGACCTACGCCCACGCCCCACCTGCCATTTAAAGAGTATAGCGTGCAGCGATAGGCTCTCCGGCGAGGGGAAAACAGCCAATCAGATTCACGGATACATCAAGGTGCGGCTTCGTGCGGGACAAGCCCCGCTAGTTGCTACAGTAGCGGCGTCTGTAAAACAGAAAAAAAACATGGAGGACTTCGATGGTGAGGAACCCGCAACATTTATTCATTTATATTTCCGACTGTAACAGTGCTGAAGACGTAACGGCGTTGTTGCTGGCGCCGACTAGGTTTTCGGGCTTGGCTTTGCACCGTCTTTCTTTTATTAAGCCGCTAGATGGCCGAAGATTAATCTCCCCACCCCCTACGTGCTGTAGTCCCCCGCCCCGTTGTTGTGTTTATATTCTCAGTATTTATATTATTAGTCTACATATTTGGTTTATCGTGCAAATGATTACAGTTTAAATTTACGGAACTGGGACAGGTGGCGATGGGATGCACCCTTTTCAACCCCTACATATTTAAAGACACATTTAACATTAATTCGCATTTAATTCGTATTAATACATGGTCTTATGTATGGACTGTCTGAATGTGAAGAACGTTCATAGGCAGAAGTGAATCCTAAAGCATTTCAGTGGTTTGATGATTGCTGGAGGGCGGTGGCTGCTCTTCTTTCAGGTAGACGGCCGGCAGCTCCTGTGTCTGTCTGCCCTGGCATGTAATTACCTTACTTAGGGTGTGCTGCTTTTAGCTCTAGCCAGAGTCTTAATTACTTTAGATTTTAGATTCTGTAGGTTGACTTAAGGTCGTAACAGGGAAGCAATCTAAACCCCATGTTCATCAACACTGCAGACCTCCATGAGACCGTCTCCTCTACTTAACAAGCAGTGTTGAACTTCCTTCGTGTTTTCTTTTTGGCAGTTGCTGTTCTTATTTCTTGCATAATTGAGCATTATTTAATGATTCATCCCTAGAGGTACTTCTCGGGTATCTTGGTCTGAACATGTTAAATCTGTAATCACTCTCCCTCCTTTTCTTATTAAGCTGACTGAGCATTCAATGCATTGCCATTTTATCCTTTAATATTTACAGGTACTGAAACTCCTCCCAATGAGGATCTCATTCCTTGCAAAATATGTGGAAGGAGGTTTTTTGCAAAAGTTCTTGTAAGTAAAAATGTGCTTCCTGTTTATCTTGTGTATTGGATGAATTGAAGCACGTGTGTTAAATATGATTGTGCTTTGAGCTCTTACAGTTGCTGCGGTCAGGCACTGTTTGCTGGCTCTTTCTGTGGTTGCGTTGTTACCTCTGATTTCCTTCCACAGTCCAGCCACAGATTAAGGTGAACTGGCGACTCCTTTTGCTCTGAATGTGTGAGTGGTTTCGCTGGCGGTGGATGTGGCTTGGTGTCTTGCACGGTGCACAAGGAAGTGCAGGGATACAGTGTTCCATACCTTAACCGTAATAAACAGAGATTAGATGGATGAAAGCATGGTCTGCATATTGTTGATGTCATTTATTGGTTGAATGTTAGTGCTGCGTAAATGTGCATGTTTATGCTAAAGATTTAAGCTTATCTGCTTTTCTGAGTTTATCAAGGTAACGATCCTGTCGACTTCCAGTGCTCACACAGTGAGGCAGGAGCAGCTTATTTATAAAAACATGCAGCCGACTCAGTATTTTCTAAACTATCTCTGTACACAGAGAAAATAGGTCAAGGCTTACTTTGCGTTGTGTAATTGCTGTTTACATTTCAGTTTTTTTTTCTTTTTTCCTTTCTGTAGAAAAAGCACACACCCATCTGCCAAAAATCCTCCATTAAAAAGAGGAAGGTGTTTGACTCCAGCAGACAGAGAGCAGAGGGAACAGACATTTCCACTGTGAAACCTCTCAAACCAAAGGTCAGATTGAGGTTCTCTCTCTGAATGGTGTGTTCTTTTTAGATGAGCCCATTACATGGGATGTATGAATGAAGTATCTTCACGGGGGCTAAATCTTCTAAACCCTTTCTCCCTAATGTTACAATAATGATTAAAAAGAAAAATGTTAAACCATTTCTGATTGTATTTCAGTTACACATTACATCCAGCACTTCTAAGACTGATAAAGTAAGTTGAAACAACACCTTGTTTGTTTTGGTCTTAAGGTATAAAATTTATCTGTGTCCTTACTTTTAAATTCAGTGAATTTTTGTCTTCTTTCTTTAGAAATGGCTGTTCTTTAGAAAAATATTGCATGTAGGAAATCCTTGATCACTTTTAAAATGTACTATCTTTTTATAAGCTTTGCTTTATTCAATCTAAGAATTATTCAGATGTCTTGAAATTCCATTTGTTTGTTAATATTTTATCAATTTTTGCCAGTCATGTTCCAACGATATCAAATAAGTGCCACAGTCTTAAAAATGAAAGATATTAACCTCTTCTAGAAGTTCGTATGATACTCATCAAATGGGACTAAAATTAAACCTAGAGGCGATTGAAAGAAACTAACGGTAGTGTGTTATCATTCTCCTAAACCATAGAATATAAACATGTTATCCATGAGAAATAAGCTAAGCATCATTGGGACGGATGTATCTCGTATGCTAAAACATTTTTGAAGTGTTTATAAACCACAGTCGAACGTTTGTATCAGTAATAACTTCCTGAACTTATCATTCAGACATAAGTTATACATAACTTTACAGAGTTTTTTTTCTGTTCGACACATTCAATTTTTAGGTTAATTTACAAATACAACTAATTATAGCTCTGGTTATGATAGTTTTATGATAGTTTTGCCCTTTTGTGTCCAACTGAGTCATGGACTTCCAAATATCCTAACTTTTACGAAATTCAAAAGCATCTGGTTTAGAAATTACTGTCTGTCTAAGTAAGTAGCTCTGATTTGCCTGTTACTATTTTGTTTTCAGCTATTAAACAAGGATAAGATTGTCTAATATTTTGTGCCGGAATTTTGCGGCATTAGCTTAAAGTTAATGCTGGTGAGTTTTCTCTATCCTCCACTGCCGTGTTCTTTTGTTGGTTCATACATCTCTCCATGTCCCAGACAGATATAGCGATCATTTGCTGGAAGTTTGTGGTTATGAGGTATTATTTGAGGCAGTGTATTATGTGATGTTTTCCAGAGCTGTGAGTGTCAGAGAGAGTTATTTCCTGTATGTAACAGCCTCTGTCAATGACCTAGAAGCATGTGTTTTCCCCCCAAAACAGCTGATCAGGCTCTGATGGATAAAATGCCAGTTATATTGACTGGACTTTAGCAGTTTCTGCTTTTGTGATCTTGGTGCTGCTTGAAATACTGGAACTGTCAGAGTGGTAAATACAATAACTTTATTTATCCCTGCATGGGGTAAGAACCAGCCTCCCAGCTGTGACCCTCTGTAAGATAAGCTGCTTGAGGATGAATGGACAAATAAGGGGATGCTAGAATGGACTCTCCACATTGATCTCACAACACTAAAAATCATGTAATTCGATGCCCCATAGATGAGAAGCAGCTGATTGGGTTTTGAAGTGCAGGTTTGTCAATAACATCACCCCCTGGGAAATAACCATTCTTTTGTTTTCCACAGTTTTGTCCATTATAATCCATAAGCTAATTGCCTTCATTTTAATATTTAATTTGACGGTTGGTGTTCCTCGTTCAGGGCCCGCGGTATGCCCTTGGTCAGCCAGCTCCCCGAAACGTGCCTCCATTATTTCGTTCACTTTACTCTGTCCGTCTACCACCTTTTAGGCAGAGCCACCCAAGAAGCAGTCGAACTGGCGCCGGAAGCATGAGGAGTTCATCTCCACCATTCGTGCGGCCAAAGGCTTGACCCAAGTCATGAAGGAGGGTGGCCCTCTACCGCCGCCCCCACCCCCGTCCTACGACCCCGGTGAGCCGAGACGCCGAGCCTGTCTCCCTGCCGGTGCCACCGCTATGTTATTTCATTGAGGTGGTCGTTTGGTGGTCAGGATGTAGGAATGTTGGAATAATCAGCAAGTCTTGGGGGAGGGACAGCAGAAATGCAGCTGTATTCACACCACAACCATCCAAAGCTTTATTTATATATTGTTTATATACTTTTATGTAAAAATAAAATATTTAATGTAAGGGTCACTTCTCAAATTTTACTTTTGTTTATCTTCTGCTGGTTCCTCTGTTGATCGGGGTTCCAGTCTTATCTTGTTTAAACATCCTGATTTCTGATTAAACAGGACCGGTTGTATGCTGAGGAATGAATCCAGAATTTTGTACAAGTTCCAGACACCACTCCCCTGAAATTAGTTTGTTCTCGACCAGGCACGTAGTTAGGTAGTAAAACAATGAGTTTGAGCCCAGCACAGAACTTGCCGGACCCCACCCCAAAATTTATTTCTGGCCCTGAGAAGTTTCCAAGGATAATGCCATGAGACGTGTAGTGCACAGCCGACCCCTCCCCTTAGAGAGTGAACCTCACTAGGTTGTAAATCAGTTGAAATGTTCCCCCCCC